AATAAGGTAAATCGACAAATCATCATTGAGTATCTATGCAGATAAGTACATACAATGATGGTGGTTAAATCTTAAATATACAACGAATGATATAATATAATTAAATTGGTTAACAGCAAAAGCACATCAAGGACAAATTTGTAGGGCACTTTATTGGGCATTATAAAGTTATAATAAGTCAAAGTTAAGTTACAGAGTTATATTGAATTTTTATTAAATAGTGTCAAGTAAATAAACATGAATAYTATTATTTTTAAATTAAAACCATGTTTTTAAGTTACCTTATACTCATTTAAATACAGGTATGTCAAAAAATATGTGACTTGGAAATACAATAATATATGTCTTAAAAACCACTAGYGAAAAATCTAATTTAAAAAATGTATAATTATTTTATTTTATTCTAAAAAATATTTTTAACGGAATTTTACTTAAACTTTAAACAATTTTAAATCGGCTATTACAACATTTAATTCATTTCATAAAATCGTTTTTAAACTGTTTAAATTAAGGAAATGGGTTAAAAATCATTCAATGATCATCTCATTCATCTCAGTTCCCAAAATTGTTAATAGTTGTTCGTTGATCGATACCAACTGGACGTAGGCAGAGATAGGTAAGATCATTGTTATTTGGTTATATATTATTCTTATACATGGATACTATCTACATAGATACCATCAATGATGATTGATTATTGGTACATGATGAATAAGTAGACTGCATACATTATTTATGACGTATTACCTGTCGGTAACCACGGAGACTCGTCGTCACTGTTTTTGCTGCTGAAGTGTTTCACTCGGCCCCGTACTTGTATCGCGGATACGTCGTGGTCATCGTCATTATTATAACCCACTGCCATTATTACATCATCGCTGTCGTCGGGATCATAAAATTCTGATTCATCCTCATACAATCGCCGGAAATATTCCAAATACTTGCAGTGGAATTCATCGTTGCTGATGTCCACCTGCGTTAAAGTCAAAAAAAAAAAGAAAAAGAATTATCATCCTATTTACATATCGTGTATTATTATGTATTATATTTCTTAGACACTCGTCCAGGCGGCTTTTTGTGTTTTCCCCTGTCGCTGACGTGTGACTGTTTTCTATTTCTTCCACATTATTATATAGTAATATTATACGCGGCAGTGCGGCACGCATAATCTGCCATCTAAATAATATTGATATTTATGCAGTACGCATACAAGAACGTATGCCATACCGATGTTTTTCTAAGATTCTTATCGGTGCAAGTAATGTAAAATATATAAGTTAAATAAAAATATAATACATGTCACATTACTACTACGCCATACCACCTAGTTCAGTGATCTCAAACTTAAATTACCAACTGGTCATATATATATATACATCAAAGGTTTGCGGGCTAAACATTTTCGTAGACATTTTTTTTTTATATCTTTATAATTAACAATGTTAATGTTTAAATAAAAATTTAAATGTATATTTAAAAAAAATTATTGTTTATTTTGGTCTTTCGAGGACCACATCGAAAGGRTTAGAGGGCCACATGTGGTCCGCAGGGTATGTGTTTGAGGCTGGTCAAATTACCGTTTTTTATTTTTTCAAGTTTTAACATATATTACATATACATATTTTATGTATTTACCTATTTAATCAGTGTCTCAAATAATATAAAAAAGCTAATTATACTAACGTGTGTTGACTCAGATCAACGAAGTTACACTTTACCAAGTTTGCATTTAGCAGAACCAATTACATCATGTTAGGTGTAGGTAATATTCGAKTCAATTGATCTATTATCGAACTCAAAGGTAAAAACACTATTTGTGGTTGTACGATATTTTTTTAAATAATTTGATTTTTAATCGCGCGAGAAACTACCTACCTATTTTAATATAGCTAGTAATCATGCTAATATAGACAAATAGAAGGTATCTTTAAGGTTATCAATAGTATAGAGCCACAGAGCCAAATAGTTTTACTATAATTACATAAAATATCATAAAAACCAATAGGTAAATAAAAATAAAAAAAGCCGGTAAGTCGTAGATGTCGCTCTGCTGTACAGTAGGTTACTATAATGGATGGAATTAAATTTGAATCCAATGATATTATATCATTGTAGGTATACGAAAAACGATTCTGAGCGGAGACGGTTATCTGCCTAGGATATATTATAGTTTATTAAAAATTTTCAAATCATAGATTTAAAAAGAAATTTTTTTATGAATTTCTAGCTTAAAATTAAGCTTTATAAGCTTAAAATTTGCGAATTTTTGTGATTTTTACGTATGTCGTCAAAATTCAAACTTTGAATGTTTATAAAAAAATCACTCAAATGTTTTGAAAATTTTACCATGTCTAGGTAAGGCTAATATGAGTAAACAACCCAAATTTCAAGTTTTTACGAATGTTTTTAACCGACTTACAACAAAAAAACTCTCGAAATTAAAATGTCTATAAATAGCTCAAAATGGCTAAAATTTTCCGAACTTTAAGCCATAGGGGACAACATACAACAAAAAAGATCGCTTGTCATTTTCATTTTAAGCAATATTTATGAAAGAAAACGTCGTTCGTAATTATTTAATGTTATAAAATCGTGAAACCGTATGTTATTTTCCTTTAACCACTTTTATTTCGAATACCGTTTAGAAAATCAAAAATGACCTTTTAAAGTACCAGCTCAAGAATATTACCTTTCATAAAATATGTTATACTTGATACTTTTGAGCAAGTTTAGAGGGAGAAAAAGTGTTAACAGAATAAAAAAGAAATAGAAATAAACATCATAATAAAACCAATGCATTCCTCGCTCCACTAAGAATCTAAAATGATAGGTATTTACAATTTAATAAAATAAGATTTTCGATAGAATACACTTTTATAGCTATACCTATGATAATAAAATATATTTTTATCCACTATGAAAATGTACCTACTAAATTATTATTCAACATTTAGTTAAAAAATAGCTCGTTATTCATTCAATTATAATATAATGTCAAAAATAAGTTAATTTAATAATACATTACTAAAAGTAATTATATAATGTGTATAAGACAACAAAAGTTAGATGAAAATTATTTACATTTCAAAATCATCATCAAATTGTAATTATATCGATGATGACACAATGATATTTGTTTTTTGTCAACAAAGACTGTCGTGTCATATCGTGTCTAAGACGTTTTATTCTWCTGAAAATCGATTGTGTCAAATTCTAATGAATTATTATTTATTGGTTAAATCGTTAAACGATTTCTTATGTTTACATGTAGACTGATAGCTGATATAGGTATGGATTTTTTAAGTAGTTGAGTACRTAGAGTGTTTACTATATATAATAATACTATATTCATTTGAAACAATTTCGATTCCATTGGATAGACACTTCGTTTAAATAGTATAATATATTATACGGTGATATACCAGACGAATTGCGATTATGAATGAAATAACGGAATTAATCTATTTTAACGATTTAGGCATGCCATGCCATGACGTGTTGCACTAATTATAGTTGTTACGAAACATAATAAAATTATACTCCGTTTAATATGTATATGTTTTTTTTTTAATTTCATAATAATATTGTTTTATATGCTTTATCTGTTTTACTGTTGTMSTGTCATATAAATAACCACCATCGTAATAAATAGTTTAGTATATGCATAATAATAATTTATCGTACGACGCACTCATCTCTCCAAAAATATTACATTACTTTGTAATTTGTTTATGAGAAAAAAACAAATTAAGATTCCGTTACCTAATACTAAAATTATCACCGAGTTTTTTATGAACTTATTTTATGTATTTCATATTATAACTTTATAATAATAATATGATTTATTTTAAATTTCAGTATTGYAATGCTATTTGTACATATTTAGTTTTAAAATTACACGTGTTTTATATTAACAATTAGTAAGTTCATAAATAAGTAGGTAATTAATTTTTTTTTTTTTAAATCAATTAAATGCATGTATCAAGTGTCTTGTGAATAAAAACAAGTTGATCTGTTTTAAATGTATTATTACTGATTTAGTAAATAGAATAATAATAAAAAAATATTTAATTAATATATAAATCGAGACTAGATTTTTAAACTTTAGAATAGAATTACGACATAATGTGTAACTTTATCGTTATTTATTACTCAACGAATACAAACGATTAAAGATTTTTCGAAAAATATCGAATATGTCGATAACGTGACGGGAAAGTTGAAATTAAAATTCTAAATTCCAATTATTATTATTTGTTTTGAAAAATGCAAAAGGGATGCATTCGCCACTTATTTAACTTATAAATAGATAATAAATATTATGTAATAGTGTATTGACTATTGATGGCAAGATTTTAAATTGTCTCATACATAAGATTATATATATATAACACATTTACACGTGTCACAAAAATACAACATATTTATACACAGGAAACGATTTTTCTTTCAAAAAAAAAGTAATGTCTATAAGTATAAAAAATATGTATTATAGTTGTATTTTATATTTACATAACTATTCCAGAATACGTAATTTATTACCTACCTAATTGGTTTTTTCGACGCGAGTCACAAAGTAGGTACAACGCGTAGCATTGGTCTTATATGGTATTTATATATGTAACATTATATACTGTTTAATAGATAAAGAGGAACTTGTATACAAGCCTAAACATTTCGATTATATTTGTATACATGAATTCCTTCTTAATGGACACAGTCACAATTTGAGTAGGTATATATAGTATAGTAAAATACATTATTATGTTATTTTATAACTGGAAAAAGAAATAGGAGAATTCCAACGACAAAGTTAATGTATCGATCATTATACTATTATTATGTATTATGCACCAAACGTATTTATGGTATTTGTCAAGAAGCAAAATTTTTTAATTTTTTTAACAATTAAAATCACATAATTCTTTCAGTTTACGTATCCCACATTTTCAGATTTACATGAGTACCTATAATACTATATTATGTTACATATTTTAATATTTCAGAAACTATTTATTAATGTTATGATTGTTTTTTTCCTATTAACACTTTAACGATCACACTCTAGTGTCTACAGTATAAATCAACAAATATACATCCTCGCTTTTACACTATAAATATGTATGTATATATAWAAAAAAAATAAGTACAGTACTATAAACCTTAGTTCTGGGAACTAAAATTATATAAATTATACTAATTCACTTTCTAGGTGTCTACTAACTAAAACCAAAACTTAAAAAACTCATTACACATAGTATTTGTCGTAATGTGGTATTTTAAAATTTGAACTAAAGATTTATAAAACAGTTATTTTTTATAATATATATATATATATAAGTAGTCAAATATACACAATCAATAAGACAAGAAAAGTCTATTACACACAAAATAATTTTAAGCTAGGTATTTATTAATCGTACCTATACATTAAAGTAAATACATAAATTACAGTAAATTATTATATGGATTTAAAAAATTTATTTAGGAAATAAGCTTGACTAATTGCAGTAAATCACCTTACTTTATCTTGGGACTGCGAATATCACACCCACCTAGCTGCTGATAGTTATGGTCTTGTGATCAAAAGATACAGTACCTAAACATTTTCGTTTTTTAAAATCAGTTGGATATTTATTTTGCATTCCTATATATTTATTATAGAAACCTCTTCTCAATCAGGTACCTATATAGTTGTGCTTAATAAGTGATTAAAAAAACTGGGTTTTTCTGCTGTAAGTACATAATATAGGACATGAGTGTTAACTGTCGAGTTTTTCGAAGTCCCTAACCACTGTAACGGATGTATWGAATTTTAATAAAATATTGTATACCTACGAAATTCGCTTTGAGCAGAGTCGGTATTTCAAATCCCACCACTCAAAATTTAAAAAGATTGAGGTATTATCTTAGGTATATATAATTATTTTAGCGCTTTTCAATGCGTTAATAAGGTATAAATGCATACTAATATATGTATATAGGTATTAACCTATATACATATCTAATGATAGGGAATCCCGGTTTTTTGTCGATTTCATTTTTTTATGTAGGTGATAATAATTGGTTCAATGAATTTGCAAATGTATACATGGATTTATAATTCTCAATTTTATAACATAATAAAGTTACAGTTTCAGAAAACAATAAAATATGAGTATTTAACTCCCCCTCCCTAAAAAATAAAAATAAATAATGATTTTTGGAAAATTGTTATCTACCCATCCTTTAGTAATAAACTATATAATTTAAGTTATAACCAGTCGTATTATGATAATTGATAACATCATTATAGTGTTGGACGTATGGTGACGTCGATGACTAGTAAAATGATAATTAAAATTTCAATAAATATTAAATACCTACGTGCCCCGTATACATTTTTATCAAACTGATATATGTATTAATGCTAATAAATATAATATATAAATATTATGCATATTATATTTATTTTAATACACATATTACATAATATTATATGATAAATTATAGATATTATACGTATATTTCACTTATCACTAATAATACTGTAATACAAATAACTGTTGGCAACTTTTCTGCCAGGGTTGTGAGTTATGACTGTTTAATGTATTCACTGAGCAATGAATCATTTAACCTAATTATTATCAATTTTTAAATATTTTACATTTTTACATAATATGATAGAAATGATAGAAATTACTTATGCAATGACAACAATGATCATTTGTCAAGTAAAAATAAATTTAATAATAATAGTACAACATGTAAGTATTTATATAACTGAGTGCAGATCCAATGAGGAAGAAAGAAAAAAGCATAACATATCATCAAACCTGTACGAGATTATCGGTCCTAACTGCTAACCAGAAAACATCATAGCATTCCTCAAGGTATTAAAATTAGAAAAAAGCATATGATAATTAAATAGAATTAAGCCACTAATATAGTAAAAAAAAATATTGTATAAACCTCAAAAGCTAATAGCCTATGTTTTCGAAACTATAATGTTCAATAAAAAAAAAATATATAGTTTTCAGTTTTTTTAAAACCAAAATATTAAACCTTATAGTTTCTTCAACCCTTCTGAATTTTGATAACTATTATTGAATCTTATCATTTGAGATATTACAATTTTGCTTATTAATTCAACCTTTATTTATATTTTGTAAGAAAAATATACCCCTAAATATCAATATTTACCGGAACCAAAACCATTGTTTTGTAGTTTTAAGAACCGGAACAGATAAAACGATACAAAAATTTTTTTTTTTAATAACTTAATCTAAGCCAAAAAAATCATATAATGGCCCCTGTGTGTACCAAGTTTCATTTAAAACGTTAAATATTATACAATTTAAACACCCACATATAACAATTGATTGCGAAACAGCATATTATTATTAAGTATGTTTATACTTTCCAATCGTCCGTCCGATCGTCGTGTGCAATTATCGTTTCATATTACTGTTCACCATATTTTAATCTGTACCTACAATGTAAATGTAAGAGAYACCTGTATAATATAATATACCTACTAATATTCAGAGAGCCAAAGAGGAACGTTTGCGAGATTACCTATTTTATAAAATAGGAAATATATATATTATATTAGGTGTCCCCTACACTCACGTGTGTCAAACATAAATGCAGGTGAACGCGTATTTAAAATGTAATATTTTATAATACAGTCAAACGAGAAATACGTGATTACTGATTAACATCAACTATATTATATCGGCAACGGTATTTAATAAAATAATAATGTACTAATTTAATAGTATATCATGTTATATCTAGAATCTGCCTACCAAACGATTATCGTAGAGTATATGCGGCGTCATCTATGYTTTGCGGCGATTTGAAATTCCTAATCCTATATTAGTTTATTAGTATATTTGGGCCCGTAAAATTTATGACCGAACGACGCCGCCGCTTAAAAGTTATTGAAACTGAAAATCATTAAATAGAAGCGTGTGTATATATAGTAATAATACATTAATATCTATACCTATATAATATATATAATATATATTATAATACTCATACCTATACAGCTATACTAATAAACAAAAAACGGATGTGAGTTGCTACGTTTTAGATTTCAAATCGTATGTTATATATACGTATAATAACCTAACCAGCGTRCAATGTTGGCCATATACTTATTAACGAGTTSAGAAATTCAAGCAAGTGTTAATATATTAATTTTTATTATTTACACAACGATCGTTTTTTCATGAATTAATTTATATTTACTAATTTAGGTATATAATATTTATTAATTATTGCAGAGTTGAACATTTTTCCTCGCTATAATTTATTGACATATTTATATTAATTTAAGCACAATTAATAATAACTAAGTAATAAATAGACATAATAACTAACAAATGTAAAAAAATGAAATGTAATTCATACAAATGTTGATTGTTAATAAGTAAAAGTAAACTAAATTATAGACCAAACTGCTACCGTGTTCTATAGCATAAATTTTACAAGACCATTTAAGACAACTAGATCAATCATTCTTTACCACACAGCTTACGTAAAAGAAAATTGTCTGATAATCCAATAAAACGACTTGTCCAGAGACCCTCTTAGTGTATTCAGTAAAATCTTTGTAAATATATAATTTATAATCATTCAGCGTAGTTAAAAATATTGTTTTATCACACCAAAGAGAAAAAATCCCTTCATAGAAATCATTAGATCATATTCATAAGATATATAAATTATATAATTATAAAAATATAATAATTCTAGCTACCAGTGGTAACAGCACTTTGGGGTTCCGTACAACCATTAAATTATTAATCTATACATACATAATATATTATCATAGTACGTATAATCCAAAAATTTAATCTTCTACCTTTTTGCGAGAATTTAAATACAGATATAAAATTTATGTATTCTAAAAAAAATCAAAGGTTAGGCATCGACATGCAGATTACAGATACATCAAMCRTTATGTTCATAGTGGTCATTTGAAAGGATCACAATCTATAAGTATGAGGTAATGTACACAGATCCGTGTCAAAAAATAAAAACCATTACAAATTATATTCATCCCCATTACCRGTGGCGCCGAACCCTATGTTAAGGTCGGGCCATGGCCCGACATATTTTGAACATTTAAGATAGGGCCGCTTCATATTGACCATTTTCCTCTCCACGGTATGCCATTTTTTCYGATAWTAAGATGTTGKGCCTCTTGAAATATTTTTCGCCCTACTAGATTTTTAGGACTTCAGCGCCACTGCCCATTACGATCGTAGGGTTATAATTTATAAATTAAAATTGAAAGCGCCAATTACTATTATTTTGTTATTCACGACAATGACAAATACAGTCATGATAAATTTACTCTAGAACTTGTGCAACCTCACGCACAAGCATTTATTTTTTTCATTCTTAAAATACCTAATTATATACCCCGAGGGTACTGTCGCCGTAAATGCTCACCCATGCAGGTACGCATCCGCGTAATACCCACGTGTGGCATATACGTTTTGTAACAATGTGTTATTATGATGTGATGATCATGCACGTCTAGTGTACCCAGTGCCGAATTTATATTTATTTATACGTGGCTATGTACATAACTCGTGCAGTATATTTACTACCCTCATTCACTTTGTTGTAGATACTTTTAGACATATTATTTATATCCAAACTCCTTTTCCTATTGACCTTAGATACGCAATAGGTACAATTATAACTTATAATTATGCGAATCAAAAGTAAATTGGGTTGCATTATACATATTTTATTTATTAGCTACCAGTATTTAGTTTTATAGCTGTTTCCGCTCTTCACGCTAGAAATTTCTAGATAAACGTTCGCGCGATTATATACAGGTAATATTATATTATACCTTGGTCATGTCCGGTAACTTTTCCAGTTTCAACCCTTTGATTATGTTCCGTCCCAATTCAGTGAGGTGGATGTGCTGCTGCTGCTGCTGAAGGTGTTGCTGGTGTCTGTCGTCGTCGGCGGCCGCGTCACACGTCACCGCTGTCATGAAATCGGCAAGCCGAAGAACGATCAAAAGCACTGCGAATCGGACCGCGCGGCCGACGACCGGCACGTGCGACCACCAGACGTCGGCACTGCCTATCATAATATTATTTTATGTTACGAGGTGATCGCGGTATGAGCACGTCGCCGAGATGTCCGTCCGCGGATACGACCAGCTTAAAATGTACAACAATAATAATCGACGCGGACGGTGTTTGAGTTTCGCGCGTAAGAGGTCGTAGTGTCGTATACGACCACGGTTCGGGAAACGATGATGATGAACGCGACCGCGGTCCGGGGCTGTACGCCGTCTATAGCTGCGTGCGCGGGTGGCRAGAGTGCGTTATTCGTACGCAGAGGATCCGGTGTGCGTGGTCGGCTGCTCGCGACCGCCGTGCACGGTCGTTAATGCGGACTGAACGCGTGCGACCGACGGACCGCACGTTTTATACGCCGCGTCGTCAAAGTAGGATTACACTATTATTATTATTATTATTATTGCTATTGTTGTTGTTGTTGTGGCGGCGGTGGCGGCGGCTTACACAGTCGTTTTACACTACCGGCGCCCGCAAAGGAGAAAAGTAAAATATATTATAAATATTATTAGACACGAGGCACACGCGTCCGCACGCGCTGACATGCACGCACTCGATCGTTGCTCGTTCACCAGCCGCCGCCACCGCGATGAGGTTTCGTGACGATTCGGTGTGACGACGATGACGTATCGTCGTCGTCACTGGCGCGCGGATCGTCTAATTATATCGTTTCGTTAACGGCAGTACTTATCAATGGAGAATGCAACTCGAGTGCGTGTGCGTGTGTGGTGTTCCCAGGTGGTCAGGTGGGACACTCCAGAAAATCTCTATTACCCCCACCCACCGCCTAAATTCAAGAACGATGCGTCTGCTTGAAGTTGTTTTATTATACTTGTATGTCCTATTGGTACTTATAATTTTTTATCCGTTTCGGTTTCAACGAAACGCTCGCATTACGACATTGTCGATTTGTGAAGGTATCGATCGCCACCATCAATCGATGTAATTATTCCGATCGTATCGCTAAAGAAACAGACGCGTGTGCTTCCCCGTAGTATGATATTACTTATTACTATATCATGATAGTATAATATCATACGAGTGTGTAATTATATGGGTAAGTACGGCTACTGTTAAAACTAAATGATCGCACTTTTACACAAATTAAATTCTGAGTACCTCGCTATGGTTTATTATTATTTAGAGTACGTATATCATTCGTTAAATACTTACGTTTCAAGCACTGCAGCGGGAGTGCAGTTGTTGCATCGTTACTGCAGCTCCGTTCTGTGTCTCAGTGACTTCTTTAACCAACTATATTCAATAATATATTTACGATATTATTTTTATCTCTTCTGCGGGTTGTTCGAGAATTTCTTCACCGACATTATTATAATATTGGTAATTTAAATTTATGTTTTTCTGCAGAACAGGAGCAAGATWGTGTGAGCGGCCCACTACAGAGCTACTCCTCCGCCACCAACCCTCACTGTACATTATAAATGCGTGTGTAAATGCGTTTACAGGTCATCAATTACTGCTGTTGATACCATCGACGATTGACCGCCGTGACCGTCGTACCTATATTTAACCATGTACTACACAGTCTACACATACACCCACAAATATGCATTTATACTGAAATTATTTTACGTAGGTACATGGTTATATCTAAACATAACCATATTATATTATAGTGTTAATGAACATTTATAAATGAGAATGGGTTCTGACGTAGAATGAAAACAAGTACCTACCTAAATTTGTAAGCCTGTCAAATCAATAAATAATTTTATAAAAGAAAATTAATACAATAATAAAGGTTTATCACATTTTTGAAGTACCTTCAATATAGTGAATTGCAGTTTTGTAACTTCCTTGTGATACATTTTTTCAGGATGTCGGCACAATAAAAGTTTCCATCACTATTCTTAACTTACAATTAACTCAAAATTAGGTCAAGTTAATTTTAGATTAAAAAATTCGTTTAAATTCTGCAAATTAGCACTGAGTCGATTATTCAAGTTAATAAAAATTGTACTATATACTATATTGATATACGTTATACGTAAATACGTTGATAATGTGAACTAAAAWATGAATACATTTTGTTAATTTCATTAATTATAATTTATATTTTCTAGCCCAAAAGTATAAAATATGTGATTTTTATATCAGAAGCTGTATGGTATATATATATTATATATATACCATGGAGCAATTAACTAATTAAGTAAGTACTTGTTTTTATAAGTACGAATTAATATACAATTGAAAATATCTAAAAGTAGAAACATAWTAGACTGCCGACTGTTACGCATTATTATATAAACTAAGTCGTATAACTAGCCTTTAGGTGCAATAAATTGATAAGAAAACACTCAAGATATAGAATTTTAAAGGGGTTTTGTAACGGCCGCAAAAGCTCTTGATGAGTTGTGTAGTGAGAAAATAAGGTACACTTTAAAAATACMAAATTGTCAAGTTATATCTWTATACATTTTGATAACATTGTATTAAGACGGATTTTAACCAAATATAATATGTTTACTATATTGTATCCATCACCTTATATTACATTCTGYCAGTCTCTCGTAAAATACTCGARATATAAAAACGAATATTTTGTTTATCGCTTGTATTGCAGTGCAAACATACTGGATTAATTTATTGAGTGTCAATGTTTTTTTTTTAGACAACTAGACAGGGTTAATGAAAATTACTTTGGAAAAAAAAGTTCGAACGAATAGATATTGTAGTTATTATACCTACTACCTAAATCTGAGGCTGCGATTTCGCCTCAATCATTGCCATATATGTCGCCGCGACGAGAATAAATYATCGTGGTGCCGCGCACTAAATATTATAATATTATACTATATAATACACTATAATACGTATAATATACTATATACCTACCTACTGYTGTAATTTCGTGTAATACAATATATAAAATTATTATTAATTTATATAGRGAACTCCGAACTATTGAACTATAGGTATATAAACATGTAAGGAGGATAATATGGGTATGTGTACACATATATTATTTATATAGTAAGTAGGCACTACGAAGTATCATKATGAAAAAATTCCCAATCTGACTGTATATTATTATATTAAAAATTGTTACGAATGATAAGTTCTCAGAAATACGTGCTGAGGAGTCTGCGCCGGTCTATGCATAATATAATGAACAATAATTATATTATATACGTCTGCGAGAACACAAATAGGTARTAAGTACAGGTGGATACAGCAATAACACACGGTAGATCCAAGTACGTTATTTACGTAATAAATAATTAATATATATATTATTATTATTAATAAATTGTATCACGTTATTATATTGTTACCTATACGTATATATTGTGCACACGTACCTTCATATTATTATTACACACTTCTTGTAAGTTGTAGGTTGCAGACGGTCAGCGTAATAATAATAATAACAACATTTTATCGTGTCGTGGACAAAGTAGGAGATGGCGGCTGTACAATACATTATATTATACCCAGCCATACACTCGCGACCTGTTGCGCGCTCGCGTCTACCTTGACGTATTAAAATAATATATAATAACGACCATACGTGCGTCTAATTGGCGAACAGCGGCGGCGGCAGTGACGAAAAACGGATGTATCATACGCGTATTTTTACTTCTTACTTTTTCTTCTCCTCGTGCAACTCATTGTAATTTCTGCGGAAACCGGATTGAGTCACACCGCGTTTAATATAATATGATTATATCGTTGGGCCGCTAAACGCCATACAACTCTAGTATCTAACTTGGTTTTATAAAGAAGATATATATATTTTTTTTTGTACTTGTAAATATTGCAATTCTTATACTTGAAAAGACAGCRCAAAAAAATAATCAGAATTAAACGAATAAGTAATACTTAGTAATTGAATATTCTTCTGAGCGGAGCGATATGTATTGGCTTTACAATTACCTGTTTTTTTTTTTTTTGTATGGTGACGTCATTTTAATAATAGCAGTAAAAAAAAGAGATTTGAAAAACACGAAGGTAGTTTCTGGTAGTATTCTGGATTTAATTGGAATACTAAGAGGTTGAAAGTAAAAATCCAAGTAGTATTCAAAATAATTATCGAAAAACTAAAAAAAAAATACTGAAAACTGATATCACGCAATGCCAAATTTTGACGAAATCTATTTATTTATTGTGGTACTATGTAATTCAAATTAATATAAAAATAAATAATCGTATAGATGACCTACGTTTGAAGTAAACGTCAAATATTAAATAGCATTTTCTAGAAATATTTAATTTTCAAGACATTTATAGGCTCTTGTTGCGCTATCTGTAGACATTTAATATTTTTTACTTGCTTAAATTTTTTTCGATAGATTTTTCGATCCAATTGTTTTTACTTAGTCAAAAATCTTGAAAAATCAATAAAGGATTCCTTATAAATAATTGTTCTTAATGTGATAATATATTTTAATATGAGTTATAGCTGCAATTTATTTAATGAGTGTAATTTTATTTTTCAAATTATTTTGTGATATTATTACGTGCATTTTTTAATTTACCGAAGTATGGCTTAAAAATGTTATACAGGATTTGGTGTTATTCTTACCATTGTTTAAAGATTTCTAAAATAATATTATATAAGCACAATTGTTTTGATAGATATTTAAATTTAATGTTCTAATTTCGGATATTAAAACTAAAAATAACAATTATTTCTCTAACAATTTTAGTGATTATGTTGTATTAATAAAATATTATTCTTATAGTGACTTAAAACTTATAGTTAATCAGTGTTGGGAAATATCTAGATAAATTTATCTAGATAAAAAATATTCATCTTTTATCTTATCTAGATAAAATTCTAGTTATCTATAAGTAAAATATCTAGATAATTTATTTTAATTTACTTGAAAAAAATATTAAATTTTAAAATTTTAAATATTAATATTTATGTCATTTTCTGTAGGTATACCGCAAACCTATGAAACGGAAAACAAAAGTTTGGTAAAATGTATGTTGGTATATTTCAATATTGAATGTTCATTTATAGTATCGAGTTTAACATCGTAAATAATGAAAATAACTAATTAGTATAGTAATATTATGTAGTAGGCAACTAGTAAGAACAACTATAATAATAGCAAAAGCGATAACAATAATTATTATTCCTATTACCCGCCGCTGTATGACGAGTATGCCTATTATTAAAGAGGTATTCCTAAAATATAATACTACGATTCCATCCTCAGCACCAGTTAAGAGGTCATTTAGCAAGGCAATACAAGTTTTAACACCTAGGCGTAATAGGTTAAATGATAGAACTTTTTAAATGATTTTATGTTGTAGATCAAACATGGTTTGAATTATTATTATTTTAAAAACAGTTATTTTTTTTTTTCAAATGTTAGCTAATAGCCTCTTTGTATCATTATTAAATTAAGTCAGAAAA